CACTATTCTAAGAAAATCTCATTCAACAACAAATCTTCTCGATATCTTATTTTTTGTATTCGGAATCTTGATTAGTAGCATTTTTCCATGGACTTCAATATCTTTTAAAGTAATATTGGCTAACTCCTCTCTGCGGCAAGCTCCAACAACGCCAAAAATCAGCGCAACCTACAAAAAAAGGGATTTGATTAATATTTTTTTTAAATAATATATTGACTGTATTTTGCGATTTCGTAAACTGAATACTAAAGAAAAATATAAGTATTTATTAATAAATTACCTTTGTGGCTTAATAATGATCATCGGGAGCTTCGTTCAAAATCCTTTCCACTACATTCGATGTTAATATTTTCGACTTTTTAGTTGTAAAACCGTCTGATTGTCTTTTTAAGAAAGCATTTATAGTCAACCAAATCTAAGAAATACCTTTTGACGTTTCACATTAATCATTCCGCAATAACTTTGCATCGTGTATAGGTTTTTATCACTGATTTAAATTTGAATCTTTCAAACAAAGCAAAATATTAAAAAATAACCAGTATCAACTTTTTTTACTTGACGTCATTTCAATGATATGTCGCTATGTACATTACCGTAGTGTTTGAATGATTAAAATTCATTTTTATGCGAATAATCGGCAAAAATATTCAAATAATCGGTAAAAATATTTAAATAATCGAGTCTTTAATTTTTTTATACATTAAATATTTGTTTAATTTGTTTTTTCTTTTAAAATTCCTTAAATTACATTAATCATGAATAAAACAAGTTTTTTTTTAATTTGTCAACGTAAATATGTGTAGACAAAAAACTCATATATAGGGCCGCGCTGAAAAAACTACTACGTAAATTCAATATCCCGCCATTACGCAAGCTTACTGTGCGTAATTTTGTGTTTGTCCTCTTATTTTGTGACTCGGCTTTAACTTTTTGAACTGTTTCTTCTATATGTACTCTGTTAACACTAGGAACTAACACAAGCTGGTGCTACCAATTTCTCGACTCCACAGAGTCAGTAATTCATTCTTGGGGCAATTTATACGCTATTACAACAAAGTCCCAGAAAATATACATGGTCTCTCTATTACCAAGTTTAAATACTCAATTAAACAAAAACTGTATAAAAAGGGTTATTATTTAACTATGGTTATGGTCCGATCTATGCAAAATGAACTCCTAGGGTCCCATGCAGGTGGTAGTACCTAGCCTCCTTCTCTATTGAAATTAGGATGATTTTTTAATTTTAATAGCCTCACGTATCATCCTTGGTAGGTTCGCGTAAATATAAGAAATCATTAAGAGACATTAATTTTGACTGCATTATTGAAAATCAAATAATAATTAATCTAAACAACGACAGCTCAATTAGTTGTATGAAAGTGATTGAATAAATTTATTTTTAATCTAGTTTCAATCTAAAATTTTTATAACTGTGCCTTTAGAAATAAGCAGTAACAATAAATACGTGGAAACTGATAAATCTTGGGTTTTAAATTACCTGTTTTTAAATTTATTTTGGTATTATTCAAACCAAACTGTAAATGATTACCAACTCTAAATAATCGATATCGATTTTTTTAAAAATCGAATATTGTACGTTCCCATTTTTTGGTTGGCATGCCTGGTGCAATAAGTCTGACAGCTGTCAAAATGTATTTCTTAGATTTGGTTGACTATAGTTTTGGGTATTCATTTATATTCACGTTGTTCCTTATAGCATACTTTTTACCATCGAAAACCTCGACTATAACATTGAAGGTTTTAATTTTGCTGAGAGTTCGAAGAAGTACTTAAGTATGTATATGTATAACATAACATTTTCTGAAAAACTATTTTCTTTTTTCTCTTCTCTCCAAGCAATAAATTCGATTCTATCTAGATATGTAGCGACTTTTTGACTTTTCCGGTAAAATATTCTCCAAAGCATTTTGTGCAATTATACTGAGTTCCGGTGGTGTTATTTCAAGTAAAATATTGTCGAAATCACTCATTTTGTACAACAAACAACTAAACACGCAAAGAACATTTTTGGAAAATGGCGTCAACCGTAAAATAATATAAGCAGAGATTTTTTGTTTTCTTCATCCATTTTGGGTAGGCAAAGGGAACTATTCCCATGTAGCCAAGTCTTCAGTAGAATTTTTATTGATGTGAAATGAAAATTAAATTTAATGACATGAAGTGAAATGAAACCTAACCTAACTCATTGAATCAAATTATTAAATCTGATATTGAAACAAATTAGTAGCTTCTTTTTAAAAATATTTGCATGAATCATAAAAACTTCTATGAATTCTTTTAGTAAAAACTTCGTGATTAGTTTTTTCTTTTTAATGGACATTATTTTGATAGTTGGAAAAGAGAACGCACGAGTTCTGAAAAGGTAAAGAAAAAGCTCGAGTATGTAATAGCCCACATCCCGAACGCTATACGTCCCTGCAATACGCCACTTTTTGAGTAACTGTATAAAAAAAAACATTTATTTACTAAGATGTTCCGTGTACGGCACGTATGAGGAGCATAAAACGGTTTCCTACGTGTTGCTGGTATACACTGGTAAACATACCAGCACGCCGGGATCACTCCCCGAAGTTACTCGCAACATCAAAAGACTATTGAACTTCTTCGGGGAGATTTTATAATCACAATATTCCCACCCACACCCAAAATGCACGCGTAGACGTGGAGTTGCGGAAAACAGCTGATCGTAAACTAAGTAACAATCGCTTTGCAAGATCGTGCAGCTAATTGTCTTAGCAAGCTTAGGTATACTAAAATGGCATGTCCCTTATTAAAGAAACCAGAGTTAAAGGAACAACATCTAAAACCGGTCTTCGATTATGATGCTCATCGAGTAAATTCCTAAAACAATCAAGTTACCTCAATAACAAGTTATAACTAAATTAGTTATCTGAGTTTTATACTCATGCGAAATAATTTACATAAAATTCGAAATGTTTAGCGATTTAATTGGTAAATGTTTAACTTTAACATGATATGAGTTGAGAGAATGAGTGGCCTTTCATATTTTAATGTGTAATAAAGTGTAGCAGGTTTGCTCTGAATATTGTGTGTTCGACAGAAATTGTGGTTAAGAATTTGGTTTGTGTTAAGCTAGGCGAAGGGACAATGTCGTTCCGGGCCATGCTGCGTAGCTGGTTAAAAGGACAACTTTGTTCAGTTCAAGCTTATGAATGTTAGATATTGAGGGTTAGATTTATGTAAAGATGATCGAAGAGATAATGTCATACCAGGCCATACCACGCGGCTGGTTGAAAGGACACATTTGTCCGGTCCAGGCTTATGAATTATGGAGTTGCACTGGTCGAAGGGACAGTGTCGTCCGGTCTATGCATAGTCGAAGGGACACGTCCGTCCGGTTCAGTCAGGTTGTTCGAACAGAGTACAGATAACGCTATCATCCGGGCCGGACCCGAGCGGTTGGTCGTAGGGTTACACTGTTTCCAGCTGTATGTGATGGCTTGAGAGAAAAGTGTTAATTAAAATAAAAACGTTAAAAAGTTAAATTGTGTCCAGCGAAACGAGCGGGTAACAGGTAATACTTCAAATAGCCGTAATAAACTGCTAACTATCGCAGCCTCTTTTCAACAGTTTAATAGAATAACCGTATAATTAGATGATTAGTAATTTTTTGTTATTATTTCTTTGGTGAATGGGCTCCCAGAATTAGTAGTAGTTTGCCAGTACATTACGTATGTAAGAAATTAGACCATACTCTTGGGTTATTTTTTTACATTACGTATCTTTGCTATAGGTTAATCAGACAGTCGATACCAACTACTTCAGCAGTTATTTCCCTAATGCGCCTTAATAAATAAAATAACAAGAGTTTTGTATTACCATTTAAGTACATTTTATAAATTGCACTAATAGTTTAGATGCGTAAACATAAAAAGACTGGCACACTTTTATGTATCTAACTTCATTTCACGCAATTATTTGATCAACAAATACAGGAGCAAGTAATCCATTAATCTGGAACTTGGCACAAATCGAATTAATAAAAATATTCCACGAAAAACCACTCTGCCAGTTCTGCCTGCCTTAAAAATTCTATATTATGCAAAGGTCCGTTTCTAATTTGACATAAAATTGAAATTTATTTGTAACATTAGCAATATATATATATATATATATATATATATATATATATATATATATATATATATATATATATATATATTTATGTAGTACCCTTTGACAGAGAGGAACACAGGCAGAAGATGGAAGCATCATTTTGATTAAAAAATAACAATAAAAAACTGCGGCTACCAATTCGCTTGTCAAACGTGGCAACTGTGTGTGAAAAGTGACAAAACACGCGCCCACGGGCGGACTATGAGCAATGATACAAATATAGGCCCAGCTATTCATAGCTACGGTACCACATATAAACACCATGTCCAGCTTATGAATAAGATCGGGGAAGATTCAACGAATGCACTCTATGAATCAACACGCCTGTTAAGTGTCACAAATATGGCAAATATGTGAGAATCATTAGGGTACGTTTAGTAGTAGATTTTTGATAAGCTCTAACAGGAACGAAACATGATAGATGTAACACAATTATATTCTCTGAATGTCCATATATAATTGGATATGTAATTCATGTGCACCTCTTAAGATTTCGTAGATAATACCCGATAACACCCTCCACAAAAGTAATAACCTTGCATTAACACTTAGAAGAAAGATACGAATTAGATGTTATTACGAAAGCGTTCGTAATAGTGTGCCATGCTGTCTGCTATCCTTGCGATTTTGCTTGTTAGTATTGAAACTTTTAAAAAAAAACTCGACATCTCTTGTCGCCCAGCACGTTGCAGCTGCTAATTGGGTACGAAAGTGTGATGGCTCAGAGCAGAGAGCGAGTAAGTGGCAGGGATGAAGTATATAAGTGAGCGTCTATCACTCTGATACAGTTTCGAAGAGACTTCACGTGCTTCACTATCGCGCGACTGATCCTTAAAACAACAATGAAAATACTGGTAAGTTCAAAAGCTTTTATGAAACTTCCTAAATCATATAAGGTGAAGTGTGAGTGAAATGGAATTTTTTAAAAATTTAATAAAAAAAATATTATGGGACTTTTTATCATATTCATGCATTGTCATCCGAATTCGAGCAATATTTAAAATTTCATGTTAATAGCTCATCGGAAAGTTAGTTTAAAGTCACTTAATAAATTTCACCCAAACAGACAGACGAACGAGAAATTGAATTAATAACAACGTGGTAATAGTTTAATAGCCTCTTTAAATATCATGAAATGTATGTACATCACACATACCTTTCAGACTCAATGTTTGAAAGAGACGTGTGAAAGATTTGAGGTAGTAATCTAATGTAAGCTGTATACGAGATGCGTGAGATAGATAATAAAAAAAATATTGGTTTAATGTTTGCGGATTTCCACAATGACTTCTTGCGAGATGCAAGGCCGAATAGGGTCAACTGTTGAACTTTAACATTACTTTTGAAAATTTGCATCTAATTACATGATTTAATCATGGTAAGTTAATATGTTTTTATTTCATAAGGCAAATTTTTTATTTGACAATGTTTTACTTTGTTATTTTACATGATCTTAAATGTTTTATACATAATATTACATCTTATACGCAATTTTTGTTATAAATGCATAAGTTAATTTTATTTAACATTACAAATACCTTTCTTATTTGAATATATAAAAAAGTAAAATCATAATTTTAAATAAATAAAAATAACTTCAAAGAACATATCAATAAAATTAAAAACTTTAGAAATAAATATAATACTGATATTTTATTTATTTATTTAGACACAAATTCAAAAGTTTTGCTCGCTGTAAAGTATTTGCGTAAATAAAAAACAATCTTTAATTTTCTAATTTTTTATTACATGTTATCATGTAAATTGATTATTCATTAATGCTATAATTTATTATCTATTCATCAGACAATCGTACAATATGTATGAACATTGATTTCCAACATAAGCTTGGTTTCGATCTTAGCATCCGTTAATGTAAACAAAACATAAATATTTCACATAAAAAAATAAAAGAAATTTTATGAAATGAAAACCGCGAAAGCCTTGTTTTTATTATAAGCGATGAAGGTTTAAAATTAACACAGTTGTTTGCATTTTAACTAAGCTTTTTATTACATTTAGCATTCGCGAACTCCGGACGACATAGACTAATAAATATATTCTAGTATTTTACCTACTTACAAAACCATGCTGTTATATAAACGATCTTGTTCATCGTGAGGACCAATTGCAAATTTCACAACATTGATATCCTTGTTTATATTAGAAACGATGAAGGTCTCAAATTAACATGGATTTGCGTTTTAATTATGCTTTTTATTACATTAGCATTCGCGACCTCTGTTTTAGTATAATAAATCTATTCTAGTATATTAGCTACTTAAAAATCATGCAAATTTCATAACATTACTTTCTAGGTCATGATATTTTGGCCTTAGAAATATTTCGATATTATCTTCAGATGGTGTGCGGAAAGCTCTAGCCTGTATTTTATAAACAATAAAGTTCATTATTATAACATTACTACCTGAAAAGAAATAATAATTGTGGAAATATCGTTTTTAATTTGGAAGAGTTATATTTATTACTTAGGAATGAAAATACAACCATTGAAATTGAATGATCTATATGTTTCAAATAAACTGTCGGTACGATACTTGTACTCGTACTATGCCAATAAGCTTCGTGCCAGTGCAAGCAATAAGTCGACAAAGTTTTACCGTAATCTAATGAACGGTATGGCAGCATTAAAATACGAACAAACAAACAGTAATGTTTTTTTTTTTGTTTTAATTACATGAAATTGCAGTAGTACGCACATTACAATACAACTTAAAATTAAACTTTATGAATTTTTGGTGGTGTAAAATGTCAATATTACCTGCGTAAAGCTGCAGTAAGTTTGTTTAACTAATGTGCTCCACAGTTTCTGTACAGCGCGACTTTAAACAATACTCATTTTTAAATATATTAAGTTAATTGTTGTATATTATAACAGATAAATGAAATGGTATGTAATATTTTTAATCAACTTTGGCGACTTGGTTTGTTGGTTTGATGCAATTTTTTGTACAGTACGATACTATTTCGACTTAGTCTTTCATTCATAGACTTACAATAAACTAAGAAGCGTGATTTAGGCTTAAGTACATATTTATGCGTAAAGACAAAATTTTGTATTACGATATAAGATGTAAGAAGAAGTATTACGATATAAAAATATTAAGTGGTCATCTTTGGTCTCTTTATACTATGCCAAATATGAAAGTAAATACACTCGTATGTTCTGATTTACTGGAAAAATGTCATCCCTATTATGTCCCTATACATAGTATTATGTGTGAAGTTACTTTACAAGACATAATGTCTTTAATCTATAGTGATTTCGTTTGCAATGTAAGCAACGACATTGATGTAGTCGTTATTGTCACTTATTTATTTTTATTACTTTATATGCCTAGAAATATTTTAAAAAATAGGACTAGACTTACTATTATTCGAAAGATCAAGTAAATTGTTTTCTAAATCGAGTGATGATGGTTATTATATTACTTTTTCAATATTCGTTTCGCAAATTTTAAAAAGTAATAATTAGGAAGGTATCAATACTAAGTCTTGATAGACACACGGTATATGACATATAAGCAATTTAGATCCCATTTGTAACCCAATATTATGTACTGACTAACGTACGCCACGGCTTCGCACGACTCTTTTCTAGATCTCGACAACAGTGTTCACCAAAATCTGTCGAGCCTATCCTAAGTGATGACCTTTCACACGTGCGGCAATCGGTTTTTATTTATATAGATTTATCACTTGCTTAGCGGAAAATGAAACCATCGACTATAATGAACAAAGTTTTATCTGCTTGGATGAAAACATTTCTAAATCATGAAGTCAAGACAGAATTTCGATAGTGCTGTGTAGCTATGGCGAAACAATAACTCACTACCTCCTACCAAATTTATTTTATTATTATTATTTTATTAAACATATGCTCACTTTTGACCTCTATCCATCATCACTTGTACTTATAAGCTCTAACACTCCGGACCATCTCGTGAGTATCGTAAAATACGACACAGAGAAATGAAACAGTAGATAAGTAAAAGTATCTTTCTGATAACAATTCAAAATAATAAAAATTGGGTTGCCAAACCACTTGCTATTGAAGGGAACTGTGGCAAGTATTCCCCCCCCCCCCCAACGTTCAGCAATGGACTTTTGATAGGTCGTAATGAATTAATGATGGATTATTATCCATTCCTTAAGATATTTCTTAAGGGAGCAGAGAAGAAAACTGGTAATATTGGTTAGTTGTGGTCTAGAGACGAAAGAGAAGGCATACCGCGGTCGTGACACTGTTTTTATGTGTATTATGTTAGTATATGCAATAATTTACGTGGTAGAGCTACGCTGCAGCTATAATGGCTGTATGGCTGTAGTACGAATGGGCTGGCTCGACCAGGCTAGAACCACGGTCTCACAGAATACCAACTTAGCTTAAGGTTATTGTGATTCGTACAGTAAATGTGGAAAATGGGTGACCCTAGTTACTGGAAAAGTGACATTTTAGTTCTCAAGGGTGACAACGCATCTGCATTCTGATTCCTAATCGAGGATAAATGTAGATGTCTAATGATAATCCACTTACCATCAGGTGGACTGTGTGTACGTTTGGCATCCTGACCCAGGCCCTCTGTGTGGATTAAACAAACACACGACATATTTTTACTTATACAACGGTGGTACGAAATTCTGAATTACTCGACTACGTTTTTGTTGTCAGATGAAGCTTAAATAAACTTTCGTTGATATAATTAAGTATTATGAACCGGATTAATATAAATCCTTCATTTTATTAAATGAATCTGAATGACAGGGTAAGAAATTGCGTGATAAGAGATAAATGTGGTATGCAAGATGATGTTGTGACCAGGATTAAGAAAGGAATGCTTCGGTGGTTTGGTCATGTAAAAAGAATGTATGAGGAAAGAATGACAAAGCAAATTTATATGGCAGATGTGAACGGCAGAGTCGGAAAGGGACGCTCTAGAAAAAAGTTTATCGAACAAATTGGGGATATTTTGAAAATGGGCCACGTTAAAAGTACCCTTAACCGACGAGCATGTATGCGTAGATATATGGATCTCAAGGAGGCGAAAGAGGTATGGCAGGATCGTGTCAAATGGAAGGCCGTAGTCTCTGCCTACGCCTCTGGGTGACAGGCGTGAGTGTTTATGTATGTATGTATGTAAAGACTAAATGAATTCATTTAATGGCACTTTAATAGAGATGTCTATGGAATGAAAAAACGGCAACAATCTTGTAAAAGAAAGAAAGTGATAATAATATAGCTATCTTATTTTGTACCGTGTTGAACGTTATATGTATAAAGACTTAAGCTATAATAATTTTATTCCCGTTTTTGGACTCACTGTTATAGTAGTTACTCTGAGAATTTGACACAGAAACATACTTCATATGTGATTTCAGGTAACATTATCCGCAGTGCTTGCACTTACGTTTGCTCTTCCACAAAGGAGAGTATCGTTGAGGCCAGGATTGAACGAGCAACAGACAAATGAAGAAAACTACGAATACAAAACAGAATACGTACAATCAGAGTATAGACCGCTCAAGCCCATTGAAGATTTCAGATCAAAAGACCAAGACTTAGAGACCTCCACGGTTATTCCTATCATAAGTTTTGATAAAGAACAGGAAAGCGATGGAAGCTATAAGACTTCGTGAGTATTTGAATGTTATTTTATTAGTAAATATTTCCAACTAATAAAAGTTTGTACCTCTCTACTATTACAGCTTTACAAATTTTTTTGTGTTTAAGATTTTGTCGCGAAGACGTTTCAGCATCGGTACATATAGACCATAATATATCAAAATAAGAGAGCAGCCAAAAATTAGCTAACAATTTTTCAGTCGCGTTACCGAATCAAATACGGCCCTATGTTCAGTTAAGAACTTATATAGTAGTAGAGCTTGTCTTAATATACTGTAGAAATGAAGCTAAAGTTATAGTTATAGGTATATTTTTCAGAATAATCTTAAATATTAAGAGATAATAATTATGCAAAAAGGATAATAATTGCTTGCACAACCCTATAAAAATAAGCAATACCTATATAATTGATCTGAAAATCTCAGCAACATTTTGAAGTAACTCGTTTAAGTCTAATTCATGTCAAAACTGTCTGCGTCCAAATTAAAAAAATAAACATCACAAGTTTTTTTCCGTTTCGTAACTTGTTAATGCCAATATAGAACCCTAAAAATTATATTTTTTGATATTCATAGCATTTACCATATTAAGAACACCTTTAAGCATTAAAGACATTCAATTTAAATTATGCTGACTAACACTTTTTACTCTCACTTGTTGAACATATTTTGTATAATAAATAATCCATATTTGATAAGTTATAAACAGCTTTATGTTACTTATATGTTTTACTTCAACAGCTACGCAAATTATATTATGTACATGAACAACTTAATAAACGCTTGTTACTAAATTAAACTAACCCAGTCTCATAAATAATTTACAGATACGAAACTGGTAACCACATCTACGCCGAAGAACAGGGTTACTTTAAGGCAATCGGAGAAGACAAAGATGCGTTGGTACAACAAGGTTCATATTCTTACACAGCCCCTGACGGTCAAGTCATCAACGTCGAATACACCGCTGACGAACTTGGCTTCAGGGTGAAGGGTGATCACATCCCAACCCCACCACCAGTATCACCTGAAATTCAAAAAGGCCTTGATCTCATTTACGCAGGCATTCAAGCAAATAAGGTAAATTTTTGATTTTGAACAAATTTAAAAAAATATATAATTCTAACTTAATCTTTATTTGTGAAAACTAGATTTGAATATTTTGAAAATTTGTAGATATATAGAGCTATGATCTTGTTTATCTAATCAACATATTAATATACATACATTATTTATTTATAATTCTTTTTCGTTAAACGTACATTTCTGCAGTAGTGTAATATTTTACTGTTTTATTGTTTTACTAAGAGTTATTCTCTACGGGAGTGTGAAAATATTCTAAAGTACTAATTAGTTGTATAAAACAAGCAAAAAGAAAACAATAGCGTAACTCAAATTTCACGAATAAGTAACAACTTTCATTTACAGGAACGCGCTGAGATAGAAGCCAGGAACAACCCTGAAGCAGCCAAGCAGCAAGAAGAGAAAGCAGCTCTTGACTACAAAGGTCTCTACTACGAGCAGTAGAGAGTGTGTGATTTTAATGTATGATTTTAATGTGTGTGATTTTACCGTAAATCATAGTCAAAAGACATTCTAAGATAAACTTAAAAACCTATGCTACGTTAAAATAAAAAGAGCAAATCTAACAAATAATAGCGTTATAACGTAATATTACATTTCACATAATAATATTATTGTTTACAACACAATTAGTATGTAGCTAAAGTCAAACTTATTTAAGTCACAATAAGTACAAACATACGAGGGCAACATACAATGCATTCCAATATTTAATTTGTACATAATTTTATAACTTTGTACATAGTAATTTTAATTTATGTTTTATTAAAAACATAATTTAAATAAAAGAATAAAAACCGTTAACTTGTTTTAACTTTTGTTTTATTTAAAATTATAATTTTAACCTCTTTTTGGTATTTCAGAAGATTATGTTTAACATAGACTATTTGCCTTGTGGTAGTTGCGTGAAAGAATCCATCTCCTCAACTCGTCCCACGGGTGTTATAATTGGCGACTATGAGATATGTTAGAAAGACTCATTGCTTTCTGTAGTTAGCACCTTAATCACCAGTCTTGCGTCAAGCGTAAATACTAATCCCGGTGATGGTAAGCTACGGCAAAGGTTCGAGACGTCTGAATATATGATCACCAATCCGCCAGCCAAATGTGACGTTTAAGGCAAAGCCGGGGAGGTTTTGCCTTAAACGTGAGAAGCCCATATCCAGCAGTGCACGTTTTGGTGAAGAAGAAGAAGAAGATATCCAATAGTACCATCAGCAGTGATTGTCAGCATCTGTCTTCCCATCCGATTACTATGTTTGTGTCTTTAAGGCAAGATTGAATAGACTTTTGTTAAGTCAGTGCGCTTCACCATCTTAGGCCACATCACCACTCACCATCTGGTGGGAATGTAGCTAAGCGCTGGCTTGCAGTGGTACGTTTCGGTATAAATAAATAAGATTAGAGATTAATTTAATGTTTATTTGTTCAAGAAAAATAAATCACAAAATTATACATTTCAATATTCAAGTCATAATATGTATACTTATGTATTCAAGGTTGAATGAACTCGTTGGGCGGACCACGGCCGAAAGTATAATACCTACTTATTCCTAAGTACGGTCTGTAAATTATGATTTTATTTTATTTACAATTTACCTGGTATTATTAGTACCTACTAATAGTAACTTTTTAAGATTTTTTTAAATTTAGAAAAAAACCTCAATTAATTAATAATTTTGTTATTTTTTGTATAATTAACTTACCCTTATCGTATGTGTAATGTTTTCACCACAAGTGAAATTAATATTAAATCAAAAAAAATAAACGTACACACAATTAGAGATTATAATACTGTCCTTCTCGACCGAGCGTGGTTAGCCGAACAAAAAATCAATATTTAATTATCATTGCTTCGGTATTACGATTTAAATAATATAATTTGTAATGATTTTAGTAACCGAAACTTTATGTCCTGATTCAGAAAAATGTTTGTGAAGGGGCTTGGGCAGCACAGCGGCAAGCAAGTGAGCATTTATGTTGGCGAGGGAGCATGGACGGTGTTTATGCGGGAATGCTCCCTGGCGTACGTGCTGCGCGAGTAGGTAGAACGCACGCTCGAGCAGATGGTAAGGGCCCCGATGTTAAACCTACTTTAAATGAAATAACATGAAGTCTACCGTTTACCTCGAACTCGACTCGACTCGAACGATTCAGTACAATTAATTTATATCAAACCAATACTCAATACACGTAAAGGCTTATACCAGTACAATCGACTGGTTTACGGGATGTCCTCGAGGTATTAACCAAAAATATTTGACATAATTATTGGCAAGGCTACCGAAATGTGTGTTTTTGAAGAGTCATTAGCTGAATTACCACATAATTATATAAATTTCTCAAAACATAGATTGAACTCAACGACGTATTTTGAGTTCGAGCCTAGTTCTTGCTGATTCATTACATTTGATTTACCGGTATTATTGACGACCCACAGCAGCGTTAGGGTCTTTGATATCGCACGTAACTGCGAAGGGGGAGTAGTTGATCCTGCGACTCGAACACTCACCGACGCGTATATTACGACGAAAGGCTTTGGCAATATTTTTTGTAATAAAAAATCCACCATTATCTTTACGGTAGGATTTTTTAAAAGGATTATAAACCTATAAAAATATATTTTACTTATTGAGTTGATATTCATATTATGGCTGCACCCCGTTTACAGATTTTACTATTGGCATACAATTGTTACATAGAACGTGTTACTTCTGGCAAAATGTTTGCTGATACGTTGTATCGTCTGTAGTAACAGATAAATTAAACGTTTTAAAAAAGTTCGAAGAAATTAATCGTATTATTTTCCGGAAAATTTTGTCTCAGGTTCGAAAGATGCTAAAAAAAACCGCGACTTCAAATATTCCAGAACTTAGTAGAATTCTTGTTAAATTTGTAGTCTGGATGACCCATTCCCTTCCCAAGAAAAGTTGAACAATATTAAATCAAACGTAATTAAATGTACGTAAACGAGGGCTGCGGTGGGTTTATTTGGTTGGTTTTGCCACACATATTTAACACAATAACCTATTTATGCAATTACACCTCAGTCATATAGGAATTGTTATAACTAAATGTAGCGTGGAATTGCTGTGCCGTGGGTTCATGACGTACATTGTGGAGTCACAGTCATCTCTTAGCATGTCTCCTCAACCTTAGCCATAAAACAAGTACCTGAGGTGCAGCTGCCACATTCATTTCTTTGATACCTTTTATTAACCGAGAAACATTAATCGAGAATGCCGACAAGCATAACTAAACTCAAATATGTACTAAAATCTGTTATAAGTTAACAGATTTTAGTACGACGTGGCTACAGGTAGTTGAAGTGATATGGCTGAAGACAGTAAATCTCACTGACTTTGCAAAAGCCTGTTCACTCTTGCATTGAAAACACCTATATTATAATCGGATTGAAAAACAGATGATAGAAAATTATTTGACTCCTTCGTTTGATGGTGGACTGATAATTAGTTCTTCATGTTAGTTATAGTTAAAAAATAAAATAAAAGTGTATTTGTTCGCTGGCACAAAACGATGTAATTGGCTTTTAGTTGCTACTGTTTTTCCGTCAAAAATAATTTAATTTTGAATTAACTATGGATAATAAACGATTTCGATCGATCGATTCGATCGACAAGGTTCTAGGCCATTAAGTTTATTATAATATTTAATTGGGGGTAGGAAGTGAACTCAGTGTATGAACTAGTTTTAATACATCCGTTTTAATGATTTACCAAGAATTGTCATTTAAATGTAGTAATGTAAGAAAACCCTTTTAGATTATTACACAAGCTAAAACGATAATTGACAATAACACATTGCTTTAGTGTTAAAGCTGAAACAACGCCCATTTCTTATGTAAGTTCTTATGTATAGTACAACATCAATACGAACTTGTTTCACAGTCAGTAAGCGTCAATTACTTAAATTTCACTTAAATCAAAAATACTTACACTGTAATTAAACACTGTAAGTGTAAAACAATCGTAGACTCTTAATGTTCATATATTCATGGAGTTGTTATTCATGTGCAACTCATTAGATAGCGTAGATAACGGTATCTTAAAGTCATAATCTTGCGTAAACACTAAATAGAAAGATTTAAATTAGATGTTAATACAAATTAATAACATGTACTTGTATGCTACTTCGAAAGGGTACTTTAATGTAACCACGAAAGGGTACGTAATAGTGTGTCGTTCTGTTTGCTATCATTGCGATTTAACGTGTAAATATTGAAACGTTAAAAAAGTCAACATCTTTTCACCCAGTGTAGTTGCGAATTGGATATATAAGAGTGATGGCTCAGAGCAGAGAGGGAGTAAGTGGCAGGGGTGAAGTATATAAGAAAGCGTCTGCCACGCTGACACAGTTTCAAAGAGACTTCACGTGCTTCACTGCCGCACGTTGCATCCCAAAAAATAGCAATGAAATTATTGGTAAGTTCAAAAGCTTTTTTGTCAAAAATCCCTACTCAGTGAAGATTAATAGTTAAACGGACTTTACAAATAGTATGGAATTTATGTAATATATAGTAATAATAAGTCATACTTTCCAGATTCAAAATATGTAAGAGACTATATACGTGGAAGATATAAAATAGTAACCCTATTGGGAGCTTGTTATAAGATATCTGTGATTAAATTAAAACGATGTATTTGTGGATTTTCGCAATGACTTCTTGCGAGATGCAGAGTCAAATAGGGTCGGCGGTTAAACTTTAACATTATTCTTGAAAATATGCATCTAAAATATGACTAATTCATTCTTAGTGAGTAAATTACAATTTAAATAAAATAACTTGTTATTATATATTATAGGTATTAAATTTTAGTATCAATTTTTGAATTAGTTTTTAAAGAAGGTTATTTTAATTAAAATTACTAACTTTTTATTATTTAAATATTAAAGATATAGCAAAATTAAAATTAGGTATCAGTATTTACTATATTTATCTAAATGTGCATTAATTATTTTGCTTACGGTAAGGTGTTGGCCTAAATATAAAATAAACTTATTATTTAATTATTTAATTTATTAACTATTAACCAAACAATCGTACAAAATATAAAATTATTGATTACCATAACAAGTTAGGCTTCTATCTTACAATCCGTTGACGTTTACAGAAAAATAAAGTTTGCAAACAAATAAAGATTTTTTAAATAAAGTTGCAACCACCTAAAGATTATATCTTCAAAATGATAGTGGTTATTATTGTTTAATTACGCTTCTTATTTCTATCGATATTTGTGAACCAACGATTCAATTTTAGTATAGTCTAGTACTTACTTTTAAAAAAGTACTGTTGTACAAACGATCTTGTTCATTGCGTCGACAAATTACATAACATTACTTTCTAGGTTACGATGTCTTTGGCCTCAGAATTTTTTCGATGTTATCTGCAGGTGGTGCGCAGAAAGCTCTAGCCTGTATCCTAT